CAGGAGCACAATTATATCCAATTATCTGGTGCTATTAAGATTTTGCAGTGGGTATTATCATTACACATACAAATGAGGAGTATATGTACTTATATCTTTTATGAAAAAAATATTAGCAATATTAGCAGCAATAGCGATACAGAATTAAATGTTGATACATGTGCATGTATATGGTATAACTGTGTAGTGTGTACAATGTAAAGGTTCAGAATAATTCATGTACCTACTGTATGTACACAAGAACACACACACACACACGGAAACATTAATTAGTTTAAGAAGCTGCATAGCTGCCAATACTCTAGTAGTAAGTTACTATGGTATGTACTAATTAGATTATATGCCTCACCATTATTAAGATTAAAGAGAAAGCTACACATGTACTTGTCATACACTTTCCCTCTCCTGTCAGCTTCATCTTGTGATATTATCTACAAAATAATAATAATAATAATAATAAAGCATTAACTAACAAGAAAACAAAGACATAATTTAAGTGCATGAAGTCATTTGTTAGACAATTAATAAAATAACTTTATAAATTATAATAATTATGCTAAAGATCTGAAAAATGGAATAAAAACATCAAAGGGGAAATAAAACTTGTGATTTACGATGTAAAATAACTTGAGGCATAAGTACATTTTAAAACTACATTACCAGGGATATATACATCATGTATAATACACTTGTACGTAACCTATTACATGTACATGTATATCTCTGGCAATACTGTATAATGAGTGTACCTCTCCACAGTATTCGCTGATGAATTCATTCTTCTCTGCTCCATCTTTTAAGAAGATGCCCCAGCCAGCAACATCTGATAGAACCATCAGCAGATGCTTCTTCTGACCTCTTTGTATGGACACATTCTTACACGTAGTGAACTTCATCTCAAGATTATCACCTTTAAAAGGAAGAGATAGAGTAATACATTCCAACTGGGATATTTTTGTATTAGAATTTATCAAATGTAAGAAAATTTCAGACACTCAATGTGTACCATAATAGCTGATAATTATAAAGGGGGAACTTGGGCAAATTTGGCATGTTGATAGCTACTTCTAAAAAATAAAATCCACCATTTTAAACCAGCTCAATGGCACATGGACGCAAATTAAAACTTACATGTACATGTATATTAATTACTAAGAATTAATTTACTAAAATTTTCTCCCTCCTAATTACCAGCTATACAGTACTTAACTGCCTCTCTCTCTCGTATACAATACATTACATGTACATGTACATTGTACCTGCCCCACAAGTACTGCAGAGGTCAGGGTCACACTCCCTCACAGCTAAGAAGCAAGGACAGTGTTTAGTGCTACATGAAGAACGACACCTACAACCTGGAAACCTGTTAGTACCTGTAAAGAAAGAAGAGTACACATGTAATGTAATATTTTCTAATGAAATAAAACCATAAACACTTCAATTTTATATTACAGAATATATTGTTAATAAACTATTATCAATATTCACATATTGTCTATTGTACTATCGTCTATTGTATAGTGGGTAATTTTGGAGGGATCAGCTTGAGGTAATATATCAGTCAAATACTTGTGTCTCCTATAGTATATACCAGTAACACATAATTAATCTAAGTGAAAATAATTATTGTAAACATAATTTACATAGCACATATCACTGAGTTACATATACATATACATGTACATGTACATGTACATGTATGGTAAAAACATACAGTATTTTTTATTATATGCAATATTATGTACATGTACATTATACATGTACACTGTATGTACTTGTGTATTATTTGGTCCAGTATTGCTTTGGCGTAAGGTGATTTAATGCTCTCCACGTCTTGTCTTGAAGGAGGAGGGAGGGTAGACATTATCCTGTTCAACTGGTTGATGGTGGATGAGCCAGGGTAGAGTGGCCTACCTGTAAAGAATGATAATTAAATATTTACATGTTGTAATGGTTTTTTGCGCAATGAAAAGTAATAGGATATACATGTACATGTACATGTATGTTGTGTACATACATGGATACATGTACATGTACATGTATATACATGTGGTCTTGTGATACATTTGGGAAACAAAGAAGAAATGTGATCATAATTATGTCCATACGAGTTGAGGGCTGTGTGTGGCCTCAGTGTATGTATATGTGATTCTTCATTAAATTTCCTGTATGTACGTATGTTAAATGATAAATTCCATTCCTTAAACTAATGTACTGTTACAGTAGTACTTATGTACATGTAGTTTATATAATCTCTCTTTCTTCCCCTCTCTCTCTTTCTCCCCCCCCTCCTCTCCCTCTCTCTCTTTCTTCCCCTCTCTCCTCTCTCTTCCTCTCTCTCCCTCTCTCTCTCTCCCTCTCTCACTCTCCTTCTCCCTCTCTCCCCCCTCTCTCTCTCCATCATTACTTGCTATCATTTCTGCTAGTATACAACCAAGTGACCACATGTCCACTCCTCTTGTATATCGTCTTGATCCTAGCAATATCTCTGGACTACGATACCAACGTGTAGCAACATAGTCAGTCATGGCTGGATTGAAATCATTAACACCATCACCTCCAACCCCTTTACTCCCTTCATTGCTTGTGCTAGCCAGTGAATGGGCTAATCCAAAATCAGCCAACTATAATGTACATAGGAGAAATATAGGACATCAAATAGTACAATGATGAACATCAAACAAAATGTACATGTATGCTACAAAATGCATGCAATTTATAGTGTTGATTAATAATAATGTACATGTATTGACATTACATAGTGCTATTTCTCATACTCGTTCACATGCATTACATGTACATGTAATGCATGTAGCATAAAGAAAAAAAAGGACATTTAACATTCATTATCTATGGTGCTTTTTTGTCACATCCGTTACTCCAAGTCCTATTCTATCGTACTGAACTGGCCAGATCATCCTATCACCATCCTTGCCACTCCTTCCGCTCTCATGAGCAAGCTCTCTCAGATGGGAGAGTTTACTAACTTACTTCTGTAGTTTATACCATACACATGCAGGCATTCACATGTACATGCATTATACTTATACATATTCAAATTGTATATATTCATGATATTGTTCCTACGTGTTTGTTATTATTTATTATTTATACATGTATATGACACTTTAATTACTGCATATTTGTTTTTTTACATGTACAACTGAACACACATGTACATCTCTTAAAATTTAATTGTGTTGTATAGTAATAGTATGTACTGTACCTTGATAAAACATTCAGAATTAATGAGGATATTACTGGGCTTCAGATCACAATGAATGGCATTGCCAGAATGAATGTACATGTGTACATGTACATGTACATGAATACCTGACACAATTGACTCATGATGTACTGCATATGATTCAACTGGAGTATCTTACTCTTTTATCACTGCATGAAGATCAGTATCTATAAGAGATTATTATAACACACTGACTGGTGGAGATATACATGTACATGTATGTGCATGGTTGATAAGCACTACAATACAATACATGGCATTTGGAACAATTTAAAAATTCATAGAAAATCTAATTTTGATCGGAATCAGCTCAAAATTGAAATGCAACATAAGAACATGTACAATTATAAAAATGGCAAACTCTCTACTTTTTATTTTTGGTGAAATTTGGCCAAAGACCCTGTACTATATAGTATAGGGACTTCGGCCCGATTTTTGAGTAACTTTAAAAATTCATAAAAAATCCAATTTTGATTGGAATAAGCCCAAATTTGGATTTGGCATAACAGTTTGGATTGACTGAGTGATTGGCAAAACTGGATTTTATTGCCTTTACGAGTGGCATCAACCACATAATATAAAAGTAAAGTACTCAAAATAATTATAGTAAATCATGAGCAGGAGCACAATTATATCCAATTATCTGGTGCTATTACGATTTTGCAGTGGGTATTATCATTACACATACAAATGAGGAGTATATGTACTTATATCTTTTATGAAAAAAATATT